GTCCTCGCGCGGCTGGCGGCCCCGGGCTCGCTCGCTCGCTGCCAGGTGGAGGAGGAGCCCGTCTGGCTTCGGCACCTGCTGCTGCGGGTTAGCTCAGTGCCCTGCTGCTCCTCGCCCCGCAAGGCTCCAGGAACAGCCCCGGCTTCTTGCAGAGGACGGCACCAGCCACTGGTAAATGGATTCCCCCGAATTCCCTTCTGTGTGCTCGCTCACTGCCCTTGCTGCTCCACACGGATTCGTCTCATGCACCCATTTCCCTGTTCAGATAGGCTGCTGCTCTGCACCTGCTCATAGGAACAAGCTGTTACGTGCTAGTGATCTGCTTTGTTAGAAGGGGAGTTAGTGAGAGATTACAAGGGAGCAGGTATCCATGGCTTCAGTTTACAGGCACTTTAATCAAAGCTCTGCTCTACCTGGCGAAGTGTAACTCAGTCGAGTCCCCTCTTCATAGAGTCTTTGCAGTGGGCTTCAGCAGAGCAGAGACAGAGGAAAGTGGCCTCAGATCTCAAGAGCATGGGTAAAAGAAGCTGGAGAATGAGAGCTTTTCAGAATCATGCTTAGTCATTTCAGTTTACAGATGGTTATCCAGAGATTACCCATAGTTAAATCAGCTCAGCCTTTCCAGCGCTGCTTTTCTGCTAAGTGGCTAGGGCATCAGCATGAAAACATTCCCCTTCATTTGTGCTGCTTTCTCATGGACTTAAATTTCTCCTGTTGTGAAATATAATTTTTAAATTGCAAAGAATTACAGCCTGATGTTTTATAAACTCAGAAATTAGGGTACAGCCAGTCTCCGAGTTACGAACGAGTTACGGACCAAACACTTGGCCGTAACTCGAAGTGTTAGTAACTCGGATCCCATTGAGTTACATGGCAACCGCACTGTTTGTAAGCGCGGATCGCATTCGTAACTCAGGGACCGCATTTACGGCCGCTTTGGTCGTAAGTGCGGATGGTCGTAAGTGGAGGTGGTCGTAAGTCGGAGACCAGCTTTACCTCTACATTATGGGATAAAGTCCAATTAAGATAGGTAACTTCAGCTATGTTAATTGCGTAGCTGAAGTCAAAGTAGATTAACTCAACTTTCTGCGCTGTCCACACTGCAGGAAGTTGAAGGGAGAACACTCTTCCTTCTACTTCCTTTACTCCCCGTGGAAGCAGGCCTACCAGTTCCAATTAGCGTGTCTTAACTAGACCGCTAATTTGAACCCTGGAAGATCGACAGTGGCAATTTCAATCTTCTCTGTAATGTAAATGTACTCTTAGTGTATTCCTGACAATGTTAATATACCCACATTGTGGGTGTGTCTAGACTACAAGGTTTTTTCTAAAAAAGCAGCCTAGACTGCTGCGTTCTTTCTAAAGTAAATTGAAAGAATGTGGCAGTTTTTTTTCAACCGTGGAAAACCTCGTTTTATGAGTAATAAAGCCTTTTTTCAAAAAAAGGCGCTATGTAATACAAACTGTGCTTTTTCGAAAGAGAGTATCCAGACTGCCTAGGTGCTCTCTTTTGAAAAGCGGCTTGCTTTTTTGAAAATACTGGTTGTAGTCTAGACGCTCTTTTCGACAGAGACTTTTTCGGAAGTATCTTTCGAAAAAGCCTCTTTTGAAAGAGGATTGCAGTTTAGACATAGCCTGAATATGTCTCACAATAAGCATGTAGAACAAGTGAACTAGTAATCCCAATGATTCTGTATGTGTAAGGGGACTTATTCAGAACTTCATCTTTTACATATCCTGACTTTAACTACTATTTAATTTTTTAAAAGATAAATGGAACAGTTCTTTGATTATTAAAACACATTATTTGTGTATTATTTTACTTATTTGTATTATTATTTCTGTAACAGTAGCGAGAGGCCCTATTATGGGAATGAAGTAAGGGCCCTATTATGTTTGGCACTGTACAGATACATAGAGAGACCATTGGTACCTTAATCAGCTTTGAAACTAACTGTATAAGACAAACAGTTGGTGGGAGAAAGTATATAAATATTAAGGAAGGTTGGTAGACACATTTGTGACAAAGTTTCATTGGATTTGGAGAAGAAATAGAGGGAGTTGTTGTTCTGTAGAGCTGCAAACTGTGTACCACCGCCAATAGCATAACTAAAAATAAAATGGGCATTTGGTACTGAACATTTTTAACCTCATAAATTTTATATTCAAGCTTGCGGGCAGCTGTTACTCAGCAAGGGCTAAACATATTTGATGTTTGATGTTTCATAGCTTAGCCCATTTTATAGCTCTCTTATAGGAGTGTTGCTGGCTGTTATTCTGCACACTTTGCTTCTCAGTGCTGCCAGGTGAAAGAAACACGTCAAGAAAAGTTGGCAAATAAAGGCTTGTCTGGGCATTGTTTCGAGTAGGTAAGTGATGAGAATGGCACTATACTATGCTTTTAGAGACATGCCATTACTTCTTCACTTGTGCATAGGAATAACCACAGTGCTTAGGATGGGAAAGGCCTCTCATTTCCACTCACAACTCAAATATAGCTGAATGGATTCTGTACATATTTATAAAGCATCCCTTTTGGGGCTGAACCCAATCACAGAAAGTTCCTGATCTTGCAAGATGCTGAGCCTCCTCAATTACTGTTGGCTTCAAGAATCACTTAACACCTGTGAGGATCAGTCCTATATTAATTAGTGGACCTTTCCCAAAGAACTGCACAAACCACAAAACTAAAGTTAAACAATATGTGGTATGAATACTTAAGAACAAAATACGGGTGCTTTTGCTTTAGGAAGAAGTAAACAAGAGCAACCATGATAAAATTGGAAACATAATCCATGAAAGATGAAGCATAAATATAGATGAGATATTTTCATATGTCCTCTGTGAACTAGGATTTTCATTGTTGTATTGACTAGATCTCTCATTAAAGTATAAACAGATTCCTAGGGACTGAGAGGGCCAAGAAAGAGTTAACTGAAAATACAATAAAGTCTCGGTTATCCGCCTTTCACTAATCCGACCTTCCGTTTTATCCGACGGTGCTGCCTGTCATGTGACGGCATGGGGCTCCAAAAACACTTCATACCACAATGGCATGCAGCACGGGCTCAGCAACCCTACCTCCCCACCCCACGCCTGGGGCAGTTCATGCCCATGCTGCGGACTCACCCGGCGCTCAGATATGCTGGGCCCGTGGCCCACTCGTGGCCCAATCCTGGCCGTCCTGCCGCGTTAGCGGCTCCGCTTTTAGGAGCGGGCCTGGACCCAGCCGGAGCAAGCAGAGAGTCTTGGGGCCAAGGCAGGAAGGGAAGGGGGGTGTGGCAAGGGGAGGGGAGGCAGGAGTGCCGGGGCCTTGGGCTCATCCAGGCGGCCTGGAGTGCGGGCCAAGGCAGGAAGGGAAGTGTGTCGTGAGGGGAGGCAGGAGCGCCAGGGCCTTGGGTATGTCCGGGCGGCCCAGGGGAGGAGGGAGGAAGAAGAAGGGGGAGGACGTGGCATCTGGAATCCGCCTGGGAGGGGGCAGCGCATGCACCAACTGCCCCCGAGACAAAGAGCGTAGCCCACTTGGGAGGTTCCCCCCCAACTGCTGCTGCTGTCCCTATTATTTGACATTTCCAGTTATCTAACCATCCTCCGGTCCCGTTTAGGTCGGCTAACCAAGACTTTACTGTAGTGTTTTCATCTGGAAGTAATCTCTTGAATCCATCCTGATAGAAAGCTGTTCCTTTAAAAGACAAAATCTTCCCTACTGTTCACATGATTAAGGTGGGCAAGAGCAGTGAATGAGCATGATCTTAGTCAGGTCTGGGCAAAATATGGCCTGTGGGCTGGATCTGGCCCACCAAGCCACCAAATCTGGCCTGTGGAGGCAGCAGGGAGCCCCAGGCAGGCTCCCCTGCTTGCCCCACAGCCCCACACGCCATGCAGAAACATGGCTGCTGGGCTTCCTTTCTGTTTCAGAACTGGAGGGCAGGGGGAATTTTCAGGAGCTGCCCCACCGCCAGCACAATCCCATTGGCTGGATTCTGGCCACAAAACCAGCCAATGGGAGCTCTTGTTGGAATAACAGGCAGCCAAGAAGAACCACGCCCCCTCTCCTCAGTTCTGTTATTCACTGAAGCACATGGCTGGGAAATATTTTAACCTCTGCAGGCTGGTTTGCGTGTTGGCTGGTAAATCTCCTGGCCACAGCCTGTGTCTGGCACCCCAGCCTCTCCCTGCCCCAACCGTCTGCCCCTCCCCTCACTCAACATACCCAAACACTCTGCCCCCTCTTGCACCCATACCCCCTCCCAAAT